AAAGGAGGCCGGAGTGTGTGCCCGGGAGCAGCGCTCAGGGCAGGTGCCTTGCCCCCGCCAGTGCATGACTCTGGCGTCAGGCGCTGCGGAGGAGTGGGTTTACCTCCCCCGGTGCCAGCGGGGATGTCCCAGGGCCGGCCCAGCTCCTCGCCTGCATTCCCCCTCCTCCCTACAGCCATCAGTAAAAGCGCAGCCGTACAGACGAGGCTTAGCCCCGATTAACATTAGGACATCGCAGGCCCCAGGCCGAGACAGGCTGGGTTGGCTTCTTTTCTGTCACTGTGAATCACCCCTCTCTAACAGCTAGCAATGAGAGCTGCAGCTGCAGAGTGGACCGTGTCTTCGTTCTCTGATATACTTGTGGTTTGGGTTTTCTTGGGTTTGGTTCCCTTTTGGTTGTACAGCAGCCACATAGGAATTGCACACGGGTTTACCTTTCCTAGAGAAAATGGAATATGTGGCTCCCCGCCAAGACTTAATTAGCTCTTCTGACTGTTCTGTGCTAAAAACTTGAAAAATATTTAGCAGCCTTTTAGCAAAAGGTGTTTAAAAATAATTGTTTAAAAGGAACAGTAGTAAGGTTTCAGTGTATGTAGAACTGTTACATGTCTTGGAGCCTTTCTGTCACACAGTGCCAGAAGTCAGCTTAAAACACCTTTGGACACAGCAGGGACTTGTTGCGTCCCTCTGGTTCTCACTTACGTGGTCTCTGCTGTGGATGGAGTAGGAGCAGTTTCAGTGCCCTGTACCACTTAAAGGCCTCAGCACTTGCCATTTCTGCAGTGTAAGTTTGAGGCAAAATCTTCACTGGAAGTTGCTGTGAGGAGATGCAATGAACATTTTTGGCCATCTTTATCTCCTGACTTTTTATACGCAAACAATAAATGAAGATTGCACTGGCGCTTTTTTAAAATTAGTTTTTTATTTTTCAAGTGTTTTGTTTTTTTCTCTTCCAAGACCATGGATGTTGCCATATTCCCCTAAAATTCTGTGGCTTGAGAATATGACATGCATGAAAATACTTTGAGCTTTTTGGAATCTGTGTTGGTCAGGAGGCAGAGGATTTCCATTCAGGTTTTTCCACCAAGGAGAGCAAATAGCTTAGTACGCTTCACTCCACTTGTTATCATCTTCTATCTCAAAGACAAGAGTTAGAATAGCTTTCAGGAAAAAAAAAAACCACTTCATCTGACTTGTTTTGAGCATTGGGGTTTGTGGGTTTTTTTTTTCAAAGTAGGACTTCCAGTACATAACCACCCTTATAAAGTATTCAGTGCAAGAAATAGATGGCTAATTAGGCTATTGTCTGTAGGACACTTGTTTTATTCACTGTGGAAATTAGCAAAGTCAATCGCAAATGAGGCACAGACTTGGGGGGGAAAAGAAGATGGCCTTGTGGTAGTGGGCTGTAATCTGGAGAATTGTCTTTTAAACTAAAAGCTTCACAGAATTTCTCTGTGATATTAAATAAGTCAGTTCACTCAGTTTCCATTAGTGACCAGCTAATTGTTTGTGCTTCGTTTTTCAGGTATTCAGCTTGAAAGAAGGGCCTGATTTGTGGAACTGGTGGGCAGTTAAAGCTCCATCTGAAGCTAAAGAGAATTGCAGATGCCCTAATACCACTGAAAAAGTTCAGGCCCTAGGCCTGATTTGAACTAGGTACTTAGAAATTAGGGGACTCTGTAAACTTGTAATATCTCTGTGCTTCAGTTTTCTAGATGTGGAGGTTGTTAAATCTTTTAAACTCATCTCATTTCCTCCCCAAATAACACAAACTCATTAAATTTATTTTGGTTTTAAAGTCTGAGGCACTTAAATAGCCCTCATAAAAGTGCAGTAAGATGCAAGGACACAGGCTGTCTTTTTTTCAGGAAAGGTTCTAGAAGGGGTGCAGTAAATCACAACTGGCATTTTACACTAAGAACAAATTAAACTGTTCTCATTGGCATCTTTTAGTGGGGGGTCCACTTGAAGAAAAAAATCCAACCCGTGATTCTTAATTTAGGTAATCAAAAATGTGTCACAGCACATACCAGAGAGAAAGAAGCAGTCAAGGTTTTGTGAGCCCATTTAGTTCTGACACAAATTCTGATTTTACAGTCATAAAGTGTTTGGTTTATATGGTGCTAGGATAATGTGGTGCAGCCCCAGTTGTCACTCTGCTCACTTATTTTTCTCTGGAGTGTGGGTTAGAAGGTAGTTGAACTAATTTCTCACTGAAGTTGCAGATTCTTTATACGTTATACCTTTAGGATCGTTTTGAGAACAATTGCCCACCATTTCACAAATGAAGTTCTATCAGTCATAAAAGCAATGAGAATGGTAATACTGAATGTTTTACTGGTGGGAGCTTCTTCCTCCTGATATTATAGTGGATTACAAAAGGAGAGAGAATAGGTTTTAACGATTGTCTCTAAAACAATACTATGTGTGATCTGCTTTTGGCAACATTTACATTTAAAGGGCATTCAGCACTAGTTCAGTCATCAGTGAAGTTTAGTTTTGCTAAACAAAGCTTCTGCCTGAAATACGCTGACTGCAGCAGTGCTATTTTAAGGCTTTAGTGTGAAATGTAAGGTCAGTGCTTATTTAATGATACTGAGCTAATGACTTCATAGTAGCAGTGTCCATGTTGACGTCATTCTTTGCTAGAAAATTGTTTTACGCTTCAGCCGTTCAAAAAATAGTTTGATTTTGATTTTTGCTAATGATTCATCTTGCAACTGAACAGAACCCAATCACTCATCTGGAAAAGATTTTTAAGAGTGTGTTTAAAGATAACAAAGGACAGAATGTCCCTTTCAAACTTAGGTGCCTTTCAAACATTAGCTGCCATTTTTAGGAAGAAAACGATATTAAAAAAACCTTTATTTTTCAGTGCTTCTTAAGATTTTCTTGCCCCATTTCCGATGCTGCCTCTAAAAACAAATTTTCTTGGAACATGTCTGCTTAATTTTTAGGCTGTTGCATTAGGACAAATTCTGAATTTAACAGAATTCTTTCATTAGTGAAAGTGGGGGGGTGGGAGGGGGCGGAGGGGTCATGTTCAATGCATAATGGAATCAAATGTAGTCCAAAGATCTTTCATTCAACAGCAGGTAATAGTACACACAAGAGATGCTTCAGACACATTCAGAGATAAGAATCGTTGTCTTACCTGTTAACAAAATAAGTCTTTGGTTCCCTGTATGCCCTATTTTTATGTACTAGATGTACACTGAAAGTTTTCTTTAATGCTCTGTTAGTGCTGCAATTCTAACAGCTGGTTTTTTCTGAATATCTGAACTGTATCTTTTATTTAAAGGAAACAATGGCCCCATACCCTTTGTGTGGTTTTCTTTTTCACTGTAGGACAATAGCATGTTTGTTTGTATGTGCTGTGTCCTGCTGTTTTAAGAAGTTCACTTTGATATATTTGGATTTTACTTTTTTTAAGCATCCTGCATTGTATTTTCAGCAGTGCAACACCGTTATGAGGTCTGAGAAGGGGATTAGAAAATAGTAGTGTTTAAGGTATACTGCAGCCAAACCTAGTCATTAAGAGACTTGGAGCCACACTTGCTTTGAAGAAACACTGGATGTTGAAAATGCAAACCATCACCTATGCCTGCATTTCTGCCATTTCTGCTCCCATAGGTTCTGCATAAATGTTGGTGCAGGGATGAGAAATTTCTAGAGCAATACCAATATAAAAGGAGGAAATGCAAAACTTTGAGTAAGCATTCTTTCAAGAAGGTCACATCTTCAATAGGATTCTGTGTCATGCCACTGTTAAATGTCATACTCACTGGCTGTGTCATGCCACTGTTAAATGTCATACTCACTGGATAGAAAAATAATCAGGTTTTTGTTTTGTTTTCTGATAGCACTTCGGAGCACATTTGGACTGAAATGCTTCATTCTGAGGGCACTGTCTTTTCAAAGCTCTGTTCCTGATTGGTTCTTAGCCTGCAGACCTGGTCACCTCATTGGAGTTGTTATTACATCATTTACCTCAGAATTTCGTATGCCACAACAGAGGATATTAGAATAAAGTATTGCAAATACTGAGTATGTCCTTCAGTTATAATCCATAAAGCAACTGTAGCTCTCCTGTTTCCAAGCTCCAGATTTCAATTGTAATGAAAGCATCCCACTTTGTTACAACTAGAAATCTAAAGCTTAAAGATCCTGATCTGATCAATCAATGAGCCTTGCTGAGGCACGTGGAGGGCAGGACTAGCTCTGAAGTCAGCTGACTTTCTTGTTCAGACTGAGTGTAGCTATTCATTTATAAGTGAATGTAAAAGTAAACACTGGGGAGCTTTTAAGAAGTGGTGGCTCTCCTTTTCAACAAAGCTTCACTTTCTTTTCTTCCTGTGATATACAGGCTATGATGTGTAGGAGCCATATTTCCTGCTGCTCTAAGAAAGACCATGCTAGCCAGAGGAGATTTTTTTTTTTTTTTCATTTAGGAGAAAAGTCTTAGGGATTCTTCCCACTGGCTTTCTAGAAGAAAGTGCTGTGCTTTCACAGTGCTTGGAACATTTTTCCTTACCAGTTTTTATTAGTGCATCTTTAATGGAGATAGTAACTCATTTTCTTTATGAAACAAATTTAGCCTATGTAGTTTGCCATGTTGCTCTGAAGGAATCTGTTTTCAGGAAAGGTGGACTATTTAATAATCCTTGATCTATATTATACTTTGTGTGCAGTTCCTTATGTTAGAATGGTATTGTTTCTGATTCATTGCTAAGACAGATACTCCCAAAATACAGGCTTATGTACAGAAAGAAAAAACAGACTTTGTGTATAATGTTTATTAAAGCTGCTAAATTTGAGATCTGCCAGAACATGTAATGAAAGAGGATTTTAAGAACTAGCAGAAGCCAACCGGTTTTCAAGATTCAGGTCTTGAGCTGAGTGAGTGTACTTGGTTGGTCCTGAGTGTTTTCTGTGGCATTGTAACAGTGGTTTGAATTTCAGCTGATATTGCCTGGAAGGTATAGAGCATCAGTTTGTGGCCACTAATGACTCAGGTTACAGGTAGATGTGTACTGTAGGAACTGAAATGTGCTGTAGATGGGCTTGATATCTGTGAGGAATAATTTTCAGTTTCTATAGAATGTTAGTTCCTCTTCAGTTTATAGTTGCTTATTTGGGTGTTCAGATGTTTTTCACCCCAAGGCACAAGTTTAGTGCCTCTAAAAAGCACTTAGAAATGAAGCAGCTGGATAAATTCTCTCCATTGTTACGTTACCTTGGCAGAGATGGATGGGAGGAGTCCAGTCACTAATTTTGAAACACCTTTCCATAGTTTTTCCTGAAAAAGGAATTGTTATACTGACTGCAGAAACATTTGTGGCACAAAAGGGTGATTAATAAGGAAGGAGGATGTAGCAGCTAGTCTTGGAATCTAGTGCTCTCATCTAAAATGCTTGAGAGCCCTGGCTTAATCACTAATACCTGTAGTGATACCATGTTATACTGTTGTTTTTATAGTTTTGTTGGAAGCTATTATGAAGAATGGAAGTACTGCTGGGGGAGGTGCTTACTGCCGAAAATCAACCAGTAGCAGTGATCAAAGTAAGCCCAATAGCACGAAGGAGGGCAATGCATCTGCTGCAGGTGAAAGTGGAAAAGGCTACAACAAAGAACAAATGGAAGGAGTATTAAGGTATGGCTTAAATATGTCACTGCTTTTCATTCTGTGTATTATGTACTTGTCCTTTCAACTCTTACCATTTAAAGGAGCCACAGAAAGTTTGTATTTTACTCAGAGGGGTTACTTGCACTGAACTTGGAGTAGAAGGAAGAGGAGAGTTTTGCTGGTTTTAAACACTGAATGAGACACTGTTGCTTTCTGCAAGAAAGATGCTACTCCTTTCTTCAAACTATCAAGGCTACTTTATAGAAGAATAATACTCCAAATAATTATTGAGTAGATCTCATGATAAATAGGAAAAGTGGTGAAAATTCTGTTGTACAACTTGCAGGACAGTGTTTCTATTCAGTATTTTTATTCTAAAGATACATGCTCACTCCTAAAGTTTATTTTCAAGCTAATCTTGCTGTACAGGCTGGTCTTAGACAAGTGTTAAAATTATTTTGGTTTGGACATAAAGGCACCTGAGCAACTTAATCTGGAGCACATAGTCTGAGTTGCAGTATAAACTCTGCTTAGTGCAGCTTGATAGTATTAAGATGAGGTGACATCAGGAAAGGATGTGTGAAAAGAAACAAAGGTCAATAAAAATGTCCTTTTGAGGCATTGAAGTAACTCAAGTCGATCATTGCACACTTGCTGGATGTAGGAACAAGAAAAATACTGTTTGATATGTGCCCAGGTTTCTGCTAAAGAACTATGGATATAGTGAAGAAATTGCACACCTCAAACCCTGATATTTTCAGATAAGCCTAGCCCAAATATTTTCAAGGGAGCTTTAAGGGAAATCAAGAGTTCCCTATCTCCTAGTTTGTGTATATTGGATGAACTGTTGTGCGTAACAGAAATTTGTGGGGGATTTTTTTTTGTGTGCATCTGTGAAATGTATGTTACTGCTGATACTATCTTGGGATCTTCCTAAAGTTCAATAATCTGTTCAGCTGTGCTAACAGTGAGGAAAGAAGTTGAAGTTGTATCAACAAAGTTTGGTTGATGCAGAAGCCCTGCATTCAGGCAGGTAGAAGCCACCAGCTCTCACATGGTTATTCTCTTGGTGTCATTTACTAGAGCTTTTCATTTACCATCTTCTCCACTTAATTAATGTTATTGTCCTTTGTGATACATCTAAAGTAAAACCTGGACAAGCCTGTACGTTTTTGCTATCTTATATCAACTGTTAAAATGAATGTAGAATGTGTCTGTGTACACATGTGTGTGAGACAAAATATCCAGAAAAAAGTCCTCTGTAAATGCGGCTTTGGTCAAAATAAGATATGTAACATACTCCTAGAAAGCTGCTGCAAGGGGAGCTGTATTGGTGCCAGCAGTCACTCACCTGTGATGTGCCGTTCTGAGCTGCAGTCTGCTTTGACATCAGGATCCCTGCACGATCTGTTTGTTTATTTGTTTGTTTGTTTTAGCAAAAGGTATGTTGCCTACTTTGTTTTGAGTTCAGTGGTGCTGTAGAGCTAGCTTTTTCTCTGGTAGGCTTTTGTGGTATTGAGTATATATCCCTTTCTTGAAGGGATTTGTTAGATACTATATAAACTTAATCCAGTTTGTTCAGATCAGGACCAGTGTTAGGGGTATTCAAGAACTGCATATTAAGAATAATTTGACAGAATATAGCTTCAAGACCACTGAATATGGAGTTTTAAAACCTACCAACATCTTTGCAAAATAGGCAAATGTAATACCTTACAGAACAACCCACGTTAGTTTGTTCTACATACCACTTAAAATCATGTGTTAAAATAGTATCTTCACCTTCACTTGGGAAACGCTGATGTCCTTTAATATAGAAGTTCATAAACCTTTAGAGTGAGATGGAATTTTTCTTTAGATGAGCAGTGATCAACAGAGCAAGTTTTCAGTTCATGTTGGAAGTTTTGAAATGTTTGTCACGGTATTAGTTAGTAACATAAACAAACCACTTAAAAAATTTGTGGTTAAGAATTAAAAAACGTGTTTGCCTTGCCAAGGAGAAGAGAATTAAATACAAACAATGGGCTGAAAGTAAATGTAAAAATATAACACATTCAGTGATGGTAATTGAGAGAAAGTTCATGTTTAAACCACAATGAGAGTGAGCTTTCTAGTTGGAAACATGACAGGCAGCATATGATATTGCTTCAGTCAGGCCCAGATTTTTCCAATTAAATGAAACATGCCCCTTTGGGGAGGGTATTCTTTAGAGAATAGAGTTTGTCACCACCATATGCTTCTGCCATACCGCAGTGGAATGGTTTTCAGATGTTTGAATTGGTTAAAGAAATAGAGTGTGAGAAGAGGTGGCTTTAAACAGTGTTTCATGCCCAGTTTTTGTCTTTTTTTTTCCTGTAAGGGAAGAAGGTTATAGAAAGCAAGGTAGCAAAATCTCCAAACTTCAATAAATTCTGACACATAGCATGAATTTGACATTGGACAAACAAAGTTGGTTTGCATGTGCATGATTCAAAAGGTTATTATCATCTACTATTCTTCCTTTAGGAGTTTTTGGTTCAGTAACTGAATGTAGACATAGGGAAAGTGCTTCTGATTTCAACTACGCTTCCATGCCATTTCCAATGCTTTTGTTGTAAGCCTTAGTGAGCTGTCAGACAGGGGAACTGACTGTGAGCTCCCTGGCTTGGATCACTGATTAAAGTTCCTGGAGTTGTATAGCTATCATGAATTTGCTTGTGACAGAAGATTTAAGAAGCATAGTGAAGGCATGCTTGGAGCAATGTAACTCATTTAACTGCATTAATTTTCATCAGGGTTACTCTAGTAATGTGAGTAGGTATGAGTACAAACAAGCACCTCTGTGCTGGCTTCATTTTTTCCACATACACAGGGGACACTGATCACTAGCAAGTTACCATAACAGTTCTGTGGAGTATTACATGAGCTTGCAAGTTGCTCAGCAGGGAGAAGCGTAAGATGTAACATATTTCCTCTGATTGCATAAGTGCTGGGTAATGCTGCTCTTTGCGGGAGCCGTGCTCGCTATTTCAGTGTAACAGTTTGAGGCTTGAGAGATACCACAGCACTTCCTTGCTTTTACATGGAAATGCTTTGAAAATCCCATCTGTAGGACATGCATCTTTTTCTTAATGATTCTTACCTTGTCACTGAGAACTGGATCAAGTTGCCTCAACACCCTTAGGTGACCTGCATGTGGGAGATATTGACAGGAGACTAGCAGAAATATGCTAGGACCCACGGTAGACTTAATGTCATTTTAAAGCAAGTGCCCTGGGAGTCTCTAGGCAACTGAAAGCTACCCAAGCAATGGCAGTTTTGAGACAAATGTGTGAGAATCATGTGCACAAAAGAAAAAAAAAAAATAAGAAGCATGAAGCTTTTTCATGTTGTATGTTTTATACAGGCTCTGTTTAAATGATCCTAAAATTCACAAGGTGTTTGACCTCTTTGGTCTCTTATTTTTTAGTCAATAAACCATAGCATGTATTCCATATTGCCTTTTTGACATCTGAAAGAAAACTGCTGTGACTAGTAGTATGCTAAATTTGCAGTGTTGTCTTGTGAAAACTGTGGTGGAATACTGCTTTTCCTGCCTTGCCAGTGCCTGCTTCTTGGAAGAAAGTACAATAATCAAATTTTGTATTTGGATTGTTGAGATAGAACCAAAACAAATGAATAGATGCATGAGTTCTATAGAAACCTTTCAAGGCAGGATTAAATGTCATCAAGTAGTGGTCAGGGCTTATCAATAACTTGATTGGAATTCATGTAGTCAACAAAAAATTGCCTCTACATATTTCATGGATCAAACTAGGAGTATAAATTACGTGACTGACTTCTTCCAGGCATTCTGCTGACACTTTTGCAAATCCAGCAAAAAGAGAAATATTGGTTCTTTTCCAGCATGGTGTTGAGAAGATAATTAACTGAAAGTGGATTAATAACAGCAATCAATATATGCTAAAAAAAACCAAACCACCAAAGCAAAGAATCGGGGCATGCCTTTAATTAGGCTGTAGAGCTGCCACGAAGTGTTGAAATATCCAGTTTAATGGTTGGGAAATTAAGGTGGAAATCATAATCATAGAGCGTTTCACATGAAAGTGGCAGAGAAGACATGATGGACTTTGTCAGTAAGGTTGTAACTATAATAAAAGGTTAAATAAAATCTGGAGAAAAGTATGCTGATGTAAACACAGCCTTGAATATTACATACAATACACACAGTAGAAACCATCTGCTCAGTTACATCCATGAGCAAGGTAGTAAGACAAACCCCCTAATGTGTTGTTGAATCTATCAGTGCAACAGAGATCTGAGACTTCTGCTGCATTTGTTTCAGAAACTAGGGATATGCAAGTACCAGCTCGAGTTCCTTGACAATGCTGTGACCTTCTCTGCTCAATCTAGAGTACTTCTTTCAGGCCATGTTTATGTTACCCAAACTGTGACTGGCACATTCCCAGCTCAGCTGCGAGATACCATTTGCATCAGACTCTCTGGCATAATCAGAAATTTGACCTGCATAGATTTTGGTATGCATTTTACTGTGTTTTTCTGCTCAACTCTAGGATCAGAAGAGAGTATAGCTTCCTGTTGCTGGGTTTTTTGTCACTAACTTTTCTGCTCACTGCTGCTCAGTTTAGATTTCCATTGGGAGAAATAATTATGGCTCCCTCGACATACTTCTGATTGGAGTATTTGTCTTTTCGGCTGTTCCTGTGAGGCTGTGAGGGAAGGCCCTTTGAAATACCTCATCATACTCCAAATTTCATGATTGTGCATTGCCGCAGGTATTCGATACAGTAAGGCAAGCATCTCTGATAGGTTTTGTTAATCTGATAAAAGTGCTGACCTAATCTGAATTGTAGATTTGAAAAGTGATCTGACAAGCACAGCAGTAGGATCACATAATTTCGTAGTCACAGGAGAACCAGTGGTGGTAGCCCTACGGCTTCTGCAGGTGAGAAGTTTCAGGACCTGAAGGGCTTCCTCTGCTGTCAGCCATCAGAGCATGGAGAGGAGCCCAGCATCCAGCAGAGTTGTTGGTGCTGCAGTGTGAAGCTGACTGACCAGTTCTACTGGAGCTGCCTTGTCAGCTGCAAGCTGGGGTAGTGGAGCTTTGCAAGTTACAATGAGATACCTCTGTCAACAGATTGGGGATGAAGGAAGGCCATCACTTGCTCTCATGCTGTTTGAGAAGTCTATTCTGTAAAAGTCAGCTGTTATTTCAGGAACAGCCAGCAAATCTGTTAATCAGAAGGACAAGTGCCAAGGTGGTGGTAAGGGACTAACAATTCAACAAGGAGAGAAATTACCTAAACAACAGAAATAATTTGATAGTAATTCAGATACAGAAGTGATCCAACTAGAAATGAAAAGTAAAAGAAAAGCAATTCACAAAAAAACAAAACCCCAAGCAAATTATCAGTGAAAACACCAAACTTCAAATAAGCCAGAAATAAAGAACAAAAATAACCTGTTCAATACAAAATGGGCTGTTAGTGAGCAAGTGATGTGTACATTAGAATTTTAAAAATAAATGTCTTTGTGGAGTTTATGTATGCAAGAAGATTAGCAGTAGGAACTGCAGTGCCTTAAGGGCAGCAAGACCAAACAAACAATTTGAAATTCAGCATTCAGAAAGTTGTTCATGCTGAGAGTGTTGCAGGAGTTTCAGGTGCAGTTAGAAGCCAGCAGTAACATCAGTGATGGGGCTTTTCCAGAACCTCCACTGGTTTTACCCTTAATTTTTCCATGCCTTTACTGGCTGATTTGTGTGCCCTGTAACAAAAGAAAGTGAAAAAGCAGTGGATCCTTCTATCGACCTGCCTTCCCAAGACAGATCTCCACAGGATAATTCAATGGTGCAGGTGAGGGATTCTGGCTGAGTGAGGATTGTCAGGTCAGTCTACTAAAGATGTGAGGAATATGTCTAAGAAAGGTCTGCATCTTCTGAGGGACAAAGGTCAAGTTGGCCATGACTTCCAACAGCTTCCAGCAGCTGGAGAGAAATTTCTCATCAGGAGAGTGGAGTTTTGGGGAGCATCTCTTAAGGGTTGAGGAGGGGTGGGACATCTGAGGCCCTGGTGTGGTGGGCTTTGTGCTCCAACAGTGTTAGAGAAGCCTTGTGGCTGTGCAGCCGTGTATGACCTGAGTCCTGGTGACCCCTCAGTTTGTCCTGTGATAAACTGACTTACCAGGTTCAGTTTGTGATGCATTCAAGTTTTGCCTCTCAGGAGTACATCACAAACACTGATAACTTTGTTTAATTGGAAAGCACCTTCTAATCATCTTTGCTTGTCCCATGCATCATTTGCACTGGGGATCAGTGCAAGTTCTGGTGCTAAACTCATATGAACTCAGTTGAGGGGGGAAAAATGGAGGTGTTACCCTGTTATGATTGCCCTGAACTGTGCTCTGTCAGGAACCTCCTGGCAAAAGTCACTGGCTCTCTTCCAGGAGGAAACTGCATTGACCAGATGCTAGCTACTTACAGTCCAGGTGGTTTTGGCCTTGAAGTAGCCAAGCAATTGTGTAAAACTGTTGGGTAATGGCAGAGTGTGGCAAAGGCTTCATAGCATAAGGTCACTGCTGAAAATTCCAGGCTTAGGTATGGGTTTTGGCCCCTGTGCTTGTTTTTTAGCTTTAAAACTTGATCTGCCTAATCCAAAGTCCTGGTAAACTACAAAATTTCCATATGTATATGCATATTCCACATTTCTGTTTGTAGAATTTTTCATTTACCACTAGGAAAGACTTGCAAAGAAAAACAGAAATGTGTTATACCTTGGCTGAACACATTTCTCGATAATAACAATACCTCATTTGTAGGCCAGGTTCAGGATAGCTGTTGCATGGAGGTCATTGCATTTAATCCTTTAGATCTTTTGGTTGATACCCATCATTGCTATTTCTCCTTTGAGGGTTCTCCACTGTGGAACATCCACTGGTTGTGAACTGGAGGGAACTCTCAAGGGGGTTTTGGGGAGTTAGAAGAACAGGTTGGCATCTGTTGCATTGTTCCTTTTATCCCCATATTTCTCCTCTTGGCATCCTAGAGTTGTGAAATGGATGTATATAGGGTCTGTAAATAAATAAACTTCTGTGTTAGGTATTTTTTTTCATGAAAAATGACAATATGCTGTTAAGGGAGAGAGTTGTTGAGGATGCGCAGTGCTTAAAAATATGTGAATGAATGTTTAACACCAGAGTTTTAATGCTAAAAAAATAACAACGTTGCTAAGCATTGACAGCTTGCTATGTAATTTTATATCAACCAAAGTTCTGAAGAGTCTGGCCCACAAACAGATAGCTCAGAAACAATTATTGAAGAAAAGTTAGATTGGATGCTGAGATAGCAACTTAATGAAATATAAGCTTAATTTGATACTGTTACACATTTAAATAAAGCTACCTGCTCTTGATACAGTTCTTAAGTCATTGAGGCATTGAGGCTATGGATTAAGGGATCTGTACACTACCACAGTTGTTTCTGCTTGTACAGATTACCAAAAAAAAAGGTTTCCAGAACTCAAGAGTACATTTTAATGTATTTTCTTTCTATCCTTTCTTGATGGATTCATGGTGTTCTTTTTAGTTAGCTCTATCAGCTTCCTAATTGGAGCTTATTAAATGTTACTTCAATATAATGAGCTATATTTATTTCACAGGATGTTTGTGTTGGCAGCTGCCTGCATACATTCAATTCAGTGCTCTTGTGAGCATTATACCAAGGCTTCCATAAAAGCTCCTGTATTTGAACACAGGAAACAGGATCCCTCAAATGAAACTTGATTTGATCAATCTGTGAAGTAGGATGGGCCACACATGATGGTGTGGTTGTACTTGTGATGCTCACACTCCCTTAATTACAGGGTATCTATTCTTCTTTCACGAGAATGCCAAAGGCTTGCTTGCCCCCTTGTTTTCCACATGGCTGCCCTGTGTGTAGTCTTGGAAACATGAAACCCAAATTTAAGTAGAAATTTGTGCATGCAAGAGAATGCAGATGCAATTACAGCCATGTGAAGCGACTCACATGAAGCTTTAAAAGTATTTATGGATGTAATTTCTCTTTCTTGCTCAGACCAGCCCATTTCTTTTGGCATGCACTCAATGTCGGTGTGCCTCATTTCTGCAGTGCAAATTAGGGATTCAGCCTTTTCTTTCTGAATTCTCACCCAAGTGACTTGGTTTGATTGTTAAGCTGTATTTACTGATTTGATCAGTTTTTCCAGCCCACATAGAATTAATGTTCTCTCTTCTCCTGTAAGTGCTCTTTCTTCCTGCTGGGGTATGGTAAAATATACTAAATCATTACATCATTTCTGGATTTTACTTCTCCTGTCTGGGTTAGCCTACAAAAAATGTTTCTGAGGTTTCAGTTTTGAAAAATGCTACACTTGATTATATGAGATGAGTTAAATATGTAATTGCTGGAGCTGCTACTGTGACATTGAATTTACATAAATTAAGATCCAGTGCATTCCCAGCAGCAGAAGTATTCTCACATGTTTTATTCCCTGAAAAGTGAATGCTTGAGTGGTGGTTGGATTTGACTTTTGTTTGTAGAAAGGGAGGTATTGTTTGCTTTGTTTTATATCCTTTATACTGAAATGCATTTGCTGTTTACAGTCCAAACAGATTATCCTACCTGCTAGCTGTGCAAAGTAAATTTTGAACCTTCTTTTTATGCATTATTAACAGCAGTATTAATGTAATTGTGGATGAGGAAATGCCACAGTAGTTGCAAACTGAAACCCTTTCTTACAGCTGCGGTAGTTCTACAGTAGAAGTAAAACAAATGTATGTAATGAGCTCAATATTGAGTTTATTGTGAAAAAAATGCATTCTTTGTTTCTAGAGTGGCTATTTAAAAAATATTTATACTGAAAGCAAAAGATGTAATGTGGTGCACCAATGTAGTGTATGACCTCATTTGCAGCTGTATGTTAACCCATTACTTCTGTATCTCTTTTTTTGCAACATTTTACGTCATTTTCTTTTGCAGTATAAAGAAATGTAAAAATTATTACGAAGTCCTTGGAGTGTCAAAGGACGCAGGTGAAGAAGACCTAAAGAAGGCTTATAGAAAACTTGCTTTGAAATTCCACCCAGACAAAAACCATGCACCTGGAGCAACAGAGGCTTTTAAAAGTAAACCCCATTTTTACTTTGAATTTCTTTTATGATTAAGCTTCATCCAAATAAAACATTTATCTGCATTGGTCACTAGTATTTTTACAAATGTAAATATGTTTTTAGCTGTTGTTAAACTGACATTTTGAAGAAAATACTTGACCTTTGTTGCATTAGAAATATAGATAAATAAACATGGACTTTGGCAGTAGGGCTTGGTTTCAGAAAATTGACTATAATGTTCAGTACAGGGAGCAAATACTTGATCTGTGAAACCCAATTGCACTTTTTTACTGTTTTCACTTAATGTAGTCATTGAATTTTACTACCTTGGATCTTTACTGTAACTGAGCTAGAAAAAAGGAAATCCTTGATAACAAAATGTAGTTTTTACTGATCACATGCCACACTGTTACCTCTTCCTTAGCATTTTTTTGTATGTGTGTAGTTTTACTACTTTTTCTGCACAAAAACACCTGAGTTCAATCATGGCCTTACTAGTAGTTGTCTTTGACCATTTTTTAGGTAAAATTTACAGTCTGATTTGACCTTATTTAAGGCTGCCCAGCTTAGCCCTGCACAAGGGAAATTATTGAAGAAAAGCTTTTTAAAGAAAACTACACTTTCATCTCAGGTGAAGAAAAATGTGAATCTGTAAGAAATGATGATGCATAAACAATCTGATTGTGGTACATCTTTTTATTTTTTTCCTGTGTGAGGTTTACATGCAGACATTTGAAAAAATCATTCGGATAAAACACTTAAATTGGGGAGGGAAAAAAGAAAAAAAAAGTCCTGAGCAAGACTCCTGATACAGACTTTAAGAGGTAATTATAATAATATATTAACAATTCCAGGTGAAAAGTAGATGGAGCAAAGCAGTAAAGTTGATTACTGTTGAGTCATTTAATACAGCTATGTGATATCTTTATTTAAAAGATACTATTCCTATAAAATAGTATTGGGCCCTAGGAATAAAATAGTTTTTTATTGTTAATAGCATTTCAAATCATCTTTAAAATGTCAAAATGTGTTTATTAATATTTTATTTAACATGAGCACTTTGTACAAGTCTGATTTCTTCAGCTGAATTTCACTTTCTAGTTTTTAACTAGATGAGTAAACAAACAGGAAATTTTGTAGGGGAATCTTGTTTACCAAAAATTGTTTAATGACAACTAGCATTTTCTTGCATTGAAATTATCATAATCATTTTGTATGGCTGAGTAAATTTATGGTTTAGTTTTCCTTTAAAGGTGTCTGATGAGTTTTTGACATCCATCTGAGAAAAGGAGTTCATAACAATAAGTTTTATTTCACAATAATGTTTTATTTTAAGGAAAGGTCACATTTTAAAACAGAATTGAATTTCATGATAGGTAAGGTACTTAGATCTTGACCTACCTAGTACTACTGTTCCATTGTATTGAGCAGTCTCACTGAAGTGAATTTTTAAATCAAAAAGTTTGTGCAAATATAATAACTTCTGCTGTCTTTTACCAATTTAGTCAAGGATCTTTTCTTTGAAACTTTTGAGCAGTAGCTTTTTTTTTTATTTTTATGTCCTTTTTGAAAAGAAAATTATATTTGAATTAAAATCTGTTGTGAATTAGCACCAGATAATCAAGAGCAAGTAACAAACAGGCATATTGTGACAGTATGGCGACTTGACTTTATATTCAGTCACCTGATTTATCTAAGTTTTTAATTGTTGGGAAAATCTAAATTTTTACTGCCAATTTCATCCTTGTATTAAGCAACTGAGCAGTATTTGATGTTGGTTTATATCCTGCTTTCAGTGCAAAATACCAAGCTTCATTTTTTTGGGTTTTCTCCCCCACTTAAAGGAATTGCTTATGTTTTATCCTAAGGGCATCTTAAAAGACACATAGCTAAAACTCATTAACTCTTGCTTAGATTGGATAATGTTTAAAATATTAATTATAAAACCACAGTCTTATTTGCCTGTGTTGAGGTTATAGTGTTGCACCTTTCATGAACTTTTGATGACTGGCTTTTCAACACCGAACATCATAATCCCTGTGCCTTGGGTTGGTTGTCTGCCAAAGAAGTCTTTTGTTGGAGAGGACTGGAGGAGAGAGTAGAGAGGAAGGCAGAAAGGGTTTAATGAAGATATGAATGAGTGAAGATCTTTCATCAAGTGGCAGCACAAACATTCCATCAATCTGCAAGATCATTATGTCTGTGCACAGCAAGAAAGAAGCTTCTAAAGTCAGTAGAATATGTGGATTTTCTTGCTGATTTTTCCCATGCTTATCTAAGTGAGGTTTTTTCCTTTCTACTGCCAAAATTGAAGCTGTTCATTTGTGATACCATAGCATAAACAGGGACAAGCATCCAGGCCAGGCCCTCTGAACACGGAGGTCATATTGATCGCCCAAAGAACACATGCATTCCTGTCACACATGCATGTTGTATTCCTCATGTTACATCATGCAGAACTTTGTGTTATTAATGTAATGCATAAAATACCTTCAGAAGCATGAAGACAAATATATTCACACTCTTGTTCGCAATGAAGTTGGTGCATTCCAAGAAATGACCACTTACCAAATGAAACCAAAGAAAACCTGCCAAGTCTATGATGTTTTTTAAAGCTAGGCTGCTAGAGCAAACTGCAGTTACCCAGGTTCAGAGTCTTATTGTAATGCTTGAAGCTTTTTTGGCAACTGCAGTGAGAAAGAACATTTCCAAAAGTGTAGGTGTTCCCCTAGAAAAACGAAGCTCTTCTGCCTTGTTTAACAGGATAAAAGGCCTTTGAATAGCATTGGAAACTTTGTGGAAGCTATTCTAAGAAAAGTGGAGATGTTTCTGGACCTTGTTCTACTCTAGTTGTTTAGTAACATACAGTGAATTACATCGTTTGCTGTCTGGTTTTGACTTTGAAATTTCAATTTTCATGCTGGAATAGCTTTTATCATGCATTTATGGGAGTTGTGTTTTATTCCTTGCTTCAGAAATCGGAAATGCATATGCTGTGCTGAGTAATCCAGAAAAGCGGAAGCAGTATGACCTTACAGGCAGCGAAGAGCAAACTTGCAATCACCCTAGCAATGGCAGATTCAACTTCCATAGAGGTTGTGAGGCAGATATTACTCCAGAGGATCTGTTCAACATGTTTTTTGGAGGGGCCTTTCCAACAGGTATTTGTATTCATCAGTATAATTGTCGAGATGTACTGCCCAGAGTGGCATTAGAGCTTATGACATTATAAAACAGTAGAATAATTCCAGCCAGCCTTGAACCCCAACTCTACAATCTACATCAGTTTATTTTTCCCTCAAACGCTGCTAAATCCGAAAAATGTCAGTTCTTTGGGGTTACTATTGTAGAGCTTAAAATACGTCTTTTAAGCAAATTTGAAAATGTAAGATACCTTAATGTCATTTTATATGCCATTGTGCAGTAATGTAAAGTGTTTTATGTTGCTTCTGTACTGACTTCTAAATAGTATTTTGCACATGATTTAAATGTGGCTGTTCCTTCCTCAGGTAGTGTACACTCATTTTCTAATGGTCGTGCTGGCTACAGCCATCCAAACCAGCACCGTCAGAGTGGGCACGAGAGGGAGGAAGAGAGGGGTGATGTAAGTTTAAGCACCATTGGCTTTAAACTATGAAATCTGCTTTTAGTGGTGTGATTGTACAGGAGCTCTCTACTGTAGACCACTTTGTACCTGCTGGTTGGGTATTTTAAACTTCAGCAGGTGGTTGGCTTACTGACTGATAAACAGGCATGCAAATTTGAGAAGGTAATAGCCTGGTTTTGTAAATCTGTTGTATGTCACTTTCTTACTGGTGACTGGTATTATTAACCTAAATATGCCACTAATTCTGGCCACTAATCCTTGTATGCATTTAAAAATTTATTTGGGCTGAGGTAAGTATTGAACTTACGGCTCAATATTGACCTACATGAATTATGTCTAGTCCTGTATAATCACATATCACTGTATAGATGAGACCAAATCATGGTATACAGTGTAGCTGAATCCAGTTTTTATTTGGTAGTTGCTTGTGTGTATGTGCTTACCCATGAACTCTTGCAGCTTGAGCGCTCTGTGAATATTGTGCATGCATTTGAAAGTTCAGATAATACCACAGTGTTTGCAGTTACTGTTTTCCTAGCAGTTTTGGAGGCTTAAAGCAAAAAGTCACACTTAGCATTAAGTATTGTCAAATTTATTTGTTTGCTTGATGATGTATGAAATACTTGAATCTGTTTTGTTCCTTAGGGAGGTTTCTCTATGGTCATTCAGCTGATGCCTATTATTGTGTTGATCTTTGTCTCCTTGTTGAGCCAGTTGATGGTATCTAACCCTCCTTACGCCTTATATCCAAGATCGTAAGTAAAGCTTAATTACATCACCTTAAAGCAGAGGGGAAGGTATTGTAATCCCACTTAGAAGCATTGTGGAGAGTCTTTCATTAGTTGATCTTTGATCTCCTACTGTGAAGAAAGGGAGGGAAGGTGTAGATGAAACAGAACAAAAAATGTAGGTGCAAAAAATATAGGTGCTGTGAGCATGTAATGGAGAAAAGAGGTCAGTGCTACCTGGAGTTTAGGAGGTCTAGTACAAGGCAGTGGGTCCATGCAACATGACATGTTGTAAAGGTGTTTACATATCCAACATACATAATCAAAACCTGAAATCTGCTAAGGCTCATTATTCTTTTGAGGGTAATCTTTTTTCGTGGAAGGTGAAGAACTTGAAAGCAACCTCCTTATCCTTATTTAATGTTAAACTTGATGGCTGGGAAGATTGTCTGTTTTTTGCTTCATTCTAGGTGAATTCTTCATTTTCTTTTGAAGAATTCTACTTGTGAAACTTACCTATTTTGTACAGTAGGATATTTAAACCTTTTTTTCTTGTGAGAAATAAATAACTTGAATCAAGCATGCAGCTAGCTGGTAGACTTAGCCCACTCACCACAATGGTTTTAGAGGTTTTTAGTTCCTTGCAGATCTCTCAGCCCCACAACAGAAAGGTTTCATTCCTCCTGTTTTTCAAAATTCTCTATTTCTGGAGTAGGATGTTTTTCCCTTCTGTAACTAAGCTGTTGTAATGCTTAGAAAAGCTTCTCTGCCAAAATGTTTGCATCCAATCTTTGATTTTTAATCTGCAGAATGCCAGCAGGAAAATGAATTTATCAATTCATGGCAGCAAACACTTCAGAATGGAGATGCCTGTACTGTGTTGCAACAGAATAGTGACCTGTTACTGTTGAGTTTGAATGTATTTTTTTTATTATTAAGACTTATATTTGCCTAAAGAGATACGAAATAAATGTCTTAGTAAAGTGGAATTTTTTTGTGAGATCAAGTGTTTAAGCAGCAGAAGTTTAATGGTCAGGTAAATGCAATAATTTTATTCTCTAGCAGATTATAGAGCCATTCTTTTCATTATTTGCCTCAAAATGGCAAATTTATGAATGTGCTGGTACTATTCTGTAATGGCAGTATTTTTTTTAAGTCTATTTGTGGTATAAAAAAAATAAATTAATATTTAGTCTTTCTCTCCCCCCTCCCTTCTTTTTTGCAGAAGTACAGGGCAGACCATAAAAATGCAGACAGAAAATTTGGGTGTCATTTATTATGTCAATAAGGACTTTAGAAATGAATACAAAGGAGTGTCGCTACAGAAAGTGGAAAAGAGTGTGGAAGAGGATTATGTGTCCAACATTCTGTTCCTCACTTTAACACTGTCCACGGTGTCACTTTGTTTCTGAATTTTACTCAGTGATCTAACAACCATTTGCAAATTATCAGCAATTTTAACTTGCTGCTTTATTATCTGTGTCCATTTCTCAGAAAATTAGACTGCACTAAATTGATAATGACAAAGCTTTTGTCATTAACTCACTGCAATTTCTAAGAATTCTCATGTCTTCCACATTACTTTATCATGGCAATAACTCATTTCCCTAAGTGCTTTTATATAAGTAAATAAATATACAGAAGCTTACATAGAAGCTTACATAGGTGTTTCCAGAGAGACAAAAAAAGAATCTTCCTGGGACGACAGTACATACAAACACTGTTTTTCCAGGCAACCAAGGACAGGCAGCGCATCCTGTAAATCAAGAGGGTTTAGTTTGCCATCTGTTTCTCCAATCTAATATTAAACAATGAGTTACTTCTTTTCAGAAACCTAAAATTCAATGTTAAAGCATAAAAATACTGAAGATCACTAGCCTTTTCTAAATCAGCATCAATTTTATCCAGTTACTCTGTTATCTGTGACCATTTTGTGAGCTATGTGGGAACAGAACCGCTAAAATTTATGTTAGTATTGAAACCAGATTGTTTTAACTTTTCAGGTGGTGAATTTCAGTCATAGCTAACTGGAAAAATAACTGATTCATGAACTGTCAGTAAACTGACCAAAAGCAAATAGAATGCAGTTCTCTGAGTAGATCACGTGTTCCTGCCCAGTTTTAGTCTCTGCAGTGCAGTTGTTTGGTACTTGTAATTTATTAGGTTGTGAAAACTACCTAAACTGATTTTAAATAAGAGGCTCCTAATGTTTTCTTTTTTCTGATAATAGAAACAGCTGATTTTGTGGTTTTAAAATACCAGTTGTGTGTTAAATCTCCGTGACAGTTAAAATCTATCTGGGGTTGATTGACGTTTAAGAATGTCTTGCATTTTGAGTTGAAGTGACAAAAAATCTTCTACAGAATTAAAATGCTCAGCATTGTCAAGCTGTTGAGCACCAGTATAATACAGAGAGCTCTTAATTATTAATAGCTCTGAACACTGACAGTCTGAATCAGCATCAGTTGAAGTAAAGGGCTTAACATTCAGATTGGATTTTTTAGGGCACAGACAAGATGCTACAGCTATCAATAACAATGCAGGATCACTGAGAGTGGCCTATATTTGTAATGTTCAATGCGGTCTGACCAGAAGTAGCAGGGCATTTTTTGTTATTTTGTTGTTGTTGAGGATTTTTGTAGGTTGTGGTTTTTTCTGTTTAATCAGATACTACTTTATGAACTCTGAGGGAGCTGGAAGGGTGATACAGCTTTAACTGCTCAAAAAGATGGAATTGTTACAAAGATCCAGCAAAGGAAAACAGTAGCAGTGCTGTTTAGTCTGAGGGAAGTTAGAAGGAAAAAAGGGCAAGGGTTAAAATCTCAGGTGTTTTGTACAACTCTGTCATGTTCCAAGTATTCAGTTTGTAACCAAAAGAATGTTTTCTCTTTTCTCCTTAAAGAAACAGACTTACTTTATGCAGCAAAAGTATATCGAGATGACCGCCTCCGAAAGAAAGCAGAGTCTATGTCCATGGAGAACTGCAAAGAACTAGAACGGCTGACCAGCCTCTACCGAGGAGAATGAGCTACAGTTACACACACACACCTTATGTATGCTGTTATCTCTCCTGTAAACCGACAAGAGATTTAGTTTCACCATGGATGCTGGAAAAGAGGGTGGATGTAAAACTCTACTGTGTAGCTGTTTCCAGAAACCTTATGCTGAAATATCATTTAACGGCTTCTTTACCTACTGTGAAATATAGGTAACTTTAATTGTCTAGATTTTACTTCAAAGCTTCTGTGAATTCTTTCAGCAGAGAGAATAGCTCAGAAAGGATGCTATACTTGTAGAGACTTAGTCATAGTGGTTCTCCTCTAACATATTTGCCATGTAAATATCTATGGAAAGAACACTTTGTGTATATACGAGTTAAATGACTTTCTATTTAAAAATCTCAGAAATTTAGTTCCATACTACATTTTGTCTCACTGATGGAATAAATAGTATGATTACATCACTCCTGTTCAGATGTCAAGTGTGTGGAGTTGAAACAATAATTTTTAATATTTTATCTCTAACTCTATGTAAAATCTTCTAGGTTTACCGCTTAGAGGAACTTGGTATTTTTAAATATAATGGCATATATTCCTAAATATCTGTTGGGGTATATTGATCTGGTGTAGAGTAGCAGTTTAGCTGTTGTAGTTTTTTAGCATTTCTAAGCAATGCTGAGAAAAATAAGAACTACACTAATCTCTTTTCAAAGTAAATATTTGCAAATGCTGTACAGACCATTATAAACATTGCTTTTAGTACTTGCAACAGTTTACAGCAGCTCTACCATTTGGTATTCCAGTAGTAGTAAGTCCATACGTATGGTTAACATGCATCCATAGCTTCCTTAATTTTCACTGGAAAGGTAGAGGAAAACATGCAACACTAAAAACACTAAAATAAAAAGGCAACCTAATTTTTTTTTTCCCTGGCAGGCTTCCATTTTCTTACTACTTTTTTATTTCAAGCTGGGTCCCAGTACTGATTCCTCAACGGGCACCGCAATTGGAACAGGGAAATTTTGCTAAGTACAAGCTATGTGCCTTTCAATTTTGCCAACTATTTAAATGCTTTGCTGCTTTGCAGTGTGCTCCTATGGTCAGAGCCCTATCACTTATCAGAAGAGGTAGGGTATGCATTTTTTGGGACCAGAATGTAGCTGGACTGACTTCCTAGAAATGAGCAAGCCTACTGTTTGGCTCCTGTATAGAAGATCATGTAACTCAGTGGCCTGGAAATGGAAACTATATGTAGCCACACCTGCTGATGCAAAGAGGTGTTCTGAAGCAGCTAAGTACAATGTACTTCAGGTTTATCAAAGTATATTGAAAATGTTTTTAGGTCCAGTAGCTGATGTTTTTTACATTTTAACAGTGTTATGCAGGGGGAATGTTTCTTGTATTTGAGAATGCCAGATAGCTTGTATTATGGGCAATATATTTTGTTTGAGAAAATTGCTGTCTGAACAATGCTGTCAGTTCATGTGGAGCCAAATATTTCTCCTAAATTTAAATACTTTGTCTGACTTCATTGCAGTTCCTTCTGATCCAGAGCAGGATATGTTTGACTTTACAAATACACTGAATGCTATTGCTCCAAGTGACCCAGAAAACATTTTGCATATATCAATTTTCTAAACTGTCCTAGTGGAAATGTCTTCTCTTGAATTGGTGTAACATGAGACTGGCTGCAGGCTTTTAACTAAGCAGCTAAGCCAGCATTCAAGGTGGACATGAAAGCCTCCTGGGGCACAAAACAGAACTAAAAGTTCCTGAAACAACAACAAAAAAAACGTTTGCTGTACTGAATGTCCTTGCCAAGACTATAGTAAAAGGGCTCAGATATAATGGAAAGGCATCCAGATGTTTGAAATATGCAATCAAAATCTATGGAGAAAACGAGATTCCCCAGATTTTGTAACTGTCCAGAATGTATTGTAATTATATTAATGAAAACAAACTATCGAGTACATTCTGGTACTCCTGTGTCTTTTTAAAAGAAGAAATTTATTCCAGAGGCTTTAACAAGTACTTGGGCCTTCCTGTTTACAAATGAGTCTGAGTTTGCAAGTGATCTTTTAGTTAACAGGAAAAGGGATATAGAACACATTTATCAAATATTGAAACTGTGAAGTCAGAGTGAACAGATGGTCTTAGCAAAGCTGCCTATAATAATCCTATGGGCTGTGTCTGCCCTGCAGCCACTTCTGGTGCAGGTGAGAAGTGTGGAAATGGATGGATGCTGAGCTGTGTCAGCTTGGTTCGATTGCTATCAGTTCCTCTGCAAACTGGAATAATGTGGTGGCTGTGCCCTATGGCAACACAGACACCCCAGAAGGTTAAAAGTGAGACCTAGACTGCAACATTTCATTTGATTACCTATTGCAATTAGCACTTTGAGAAGGAAATAATATGTTTATACTGGTGGAAGTATGCTGCTTAGCATTTAACAGATTAAATAGTTGCACACTTTGAAATATGTAGTAATGTGCAAAAGGATGCTGTGATTTCCTGTGGTATAAAGATTAAGCTGCTCTAAATAGGGCCTGCAAACATTCTTTTAATATTTCAAGTGGGTGTTTTTCTCCTCATGATTGTTGCTTTTTTTTTCCTAAAGTCTGAAGGGTTTTTTTTTTCTTCAGAAATGTCAATATCTTCCCTGGATTTGTTGAGGGAATCTGCTAGAAATTCATTTTCTCATGAGCAAAATGCAAATTGAAGAGGGTGGAGTACTTAAATCTTTTCAGATGACCTTTCTTCAGAAGGCAAAGCTCTCATTAAAATAAGATACTGGAAAGAAAAGGGGAAAGCAAAACTGGTTTTGAACAACCTGACTAAAAATCCCTCAACATTTTGGCTACCTGCTCCTTAATTGTTTTTATTTAGTCATTACCTTTCATTTGATCTAGAATTATAGATAGCACAAGCATGGGTTCTTGGTTTTGTCCTTTAAAAGCACAGGCAGAAAAGCCTTGAAAAAAGAGAAGAATCTTGGCATGACTCTGACATAGCCTAATGAAAAAAGGAGATGATTTGCATCTGCTGAAATATAACATCAGTATGTGTTCTATTTATGGAGCATCCTGAGTCACAAGAGAGTTCAGCGTTCACATCTGATGAACATTTCCCTACAAGTTCTCTGTTTGGGTAAAACAAGTCTAAATTGGATTTTTTTACCTTTTTTTTAAACAGTCTTTTTTATTTTACAAGTTTCCAAGAGATGGTAGAACATCACAGCACTAAAAATGCAACAGATGCATTTAGGTAGACAGCAAAGACAACTTTAAATTATAAATATTTTTAATACAATTTTGTAACAAATGCTGTAAAAGGATTAAAATACGAGGGCAAGAATATTTTTTAAGGTTGTTTGTTCATGAATTTCATTCACTTTTAAGCAGTTGTTATTCTGACTTCTTGTAGCTCTGTCAAAAAGAAGGAAAGTGTAATAGTAAAAGCATTTTGTTTTTTTAAAAAGCAGGTAATAATAAATAAATTAATTCCTGAAGCTATAACTTCCTTACATGTAATGTAATGAATAAATATAGGAAAGAAACAGGCCATTTGTTGTGGATTGGCCTTGGCCATGAATGAAGCACTGTGCAGCCAGCTGCTCTCACCCCCACAGCACAATGGGGTGGAGAATCAAACTCAGGTAAAACCTGGGGGCTGAGATGACAGCAGTTCAATCATCAAAACAAAATCAAGTATCAATGATCAGTAGCAATGAAAAGGGAGACAAGAGAGAGAGGAATAAACCCCAAGAAACAGAAGTGAGCCCAGTACAATTTCTCACCGCACTCTGACCAATGCCCAGCCTGTCCCTGACGAGCAGTCAGCAGCTCCTGACCAACCTCCCCAGTTTATACGCTGACCATGAGCTGCTCCATGGGATGAAATATCCCTTTGGCAAGTTTGGGTCTGCTGTCCTGGCCCTGCTCCCTCCCAGCTTCTTGTGCACCTGCTTGCTGCCAGAGCATGGGAAACAGAAAAATCCTGGATTTAGGGTAAGCACTGCTCAGCAACAGCCAAAGTATCAGTGTGTTACCAACATTATTCTCATACTGAATCCAAAGCACAGCACTGTACCAGCTGCTAGGAAGAAAAGTAACTCCCCTATCCCCTCTGAAAGCAGAACACCATTATAAGCTATACTTCCCATACTGCTCAGTTTGGCAGGAATTGGGTTTGAGGATTGGGCTTCTCCACATTTTTACAAGCAATATTAAAATACACTGTTTACAGTTACAATGTTATCCTTCATACAGAATACCCTTCTTCCTTCAGTACTGGCTTATTCCTTGTATAGAAAGACTACATTGGGATGGGAAAATAAATTCCCGTTAATAGCAATACAGGAGCCATCTCATAGATGCTTTTGCATAGCTTTTATTCAAAATGTGACAGGGAAATAAGTAAAATCAATCACTGAGCATCATGGCTTCAAATAATTTTAAAAAAGTTGCATTTTTAAACCTTTTTAGTGTATAGTGGGGAATATTTTAATAAACGAGAAGACCGAGGCTGTCCCAGGTAGCATTTTCGAAAATACTACCAGAAGCTCACACAATGATTTTATGGGGTTCTCTTTTAAGTATCTCTCTAATATGACCAAGTCCTTATCAAATTGCTGTGTGTGCATGGCTTGGATTAAGAAGGAGGTATGAATTCTCAGTATTCAAATAAATTTGTTCTTTTGAATGACCTTTTCCTCTGTTACTTGCAAAAAGTGGCTTATCTCTGTTTCGGGCTTTTTGGAAACTTCACTGGACCTATATGTTTAGAAACACTAGCAATTTCCAAGTGAATATATATACATATATATATCTATACACACACACACATATATATATAATTTAGACTTTTTAAAATTGTAATTTGATACTGGCATCTAAGCAAAATCTTCAGGTATCAACAATGCTCTAGTCACTGGTGGTGTCCCCTGGGCTCAGGATTGGGCCCAGTCCTGTTCAGTATCTTTACTGATGATCTGGATGAGGGAATTGAGTCCACCCTCGGTAAATCCACAGGTGACACCAAGCTGGGTGGCAGTGTTGATCTGCTGGAGGGCAGGAGGTCTCTGCAGGGGATTTGGACAGGCTGGGTCAATGGGCTGAGACAATGGAATGAGGTTTAAGGAGGCCAAGTGCTGAGTCCTGCCCTTGGGTCACAGCAACCCCAGGCAGTGCCACAGGCAGGGGACAGAGTGGCTGGGAAGCTGCACAGTGGGAAGGGACGTGGGGTGCTGGTGACAGCAGCTGAACATGAGCCAGCAGTGCCCAGGGGGGCGAGGGAATCCTGGCTTGGATCAGCAATGGTGTGGCCAGCAGGAGCAGAGCAGGGATTGTCCCCTGTACTCGGCACTGGTGAGGCCACACCTCGAGAGCTGTGTCCAGTTCTGGGCCACTCACTACAAGAAAGGCATTGCAGTGCTGGAGCGTGTCCAGAGGAGGACAACAGAGCTGGGGAATGGTCTGGAGCACAAGTCCTGTGAGGAGCAGCTGAGGGAGCTGGGGGTGTTTAGCCTGGAGAAGAGGCAGCTGAGGGGTCACCTGGCTGCTCTACAACCCCCTCAGGAGCAGGTAGCCAGGTGGGGGTCAGCCTCTTCTCCCACACATCCAGTGACAGGATGACAGGAAATTATTTCAAGCTGTGCCAGTAGAGGTTCAGGTTGGACATTAGCAAGAAATTCTTCACAGAAAAGGTGTGTAGATACTGAAATGGGCTGCCCAGTAAGGTGATGGAATTGCTGTTGCTGGAGGTGATTGATGAAAGGCTGGATGTGGCACGCAGAGCCATGGTCTGGTTAACATGATGGTGCTCAGTCATAGTTTGGACTCAGTGATCTGGGAGGTCTTTTCCAACCTAAATGATTCTGTGGTTCTTCTTCTTGGCTTGTAGCAGCTTGGTTTTTTTAGAGAAAAAGCATTGTGTGCTGAGCAGGCTTGGGGTGTTTTTAGTGTACCACAAGGGTCCTGCATGCTGACTTTGAAAACGGATACCATTGTTACACTGTGGGCATCTACTAAATGAATCCATTTTATTTCTTCACATTAGCTGTTACATTATTAGCCTGGAGGTCCATGTTTTGATGGACTAGATCCAAAAGTACGAGAAATAAGCAACAGTGGAAGAGTAAAACTGGCAGTAATTCCACTCGGCAGAAAAAGACGTTCGCTCTCTGCTGTTGATGTTCTTTAACTGAAACGCTGCGGTTTGTTTTGGTTTTGGTTAGTTTTGCTGCCGGGGCGGAGGGCGGGGGCGGCGGGAAGCG